TATGATCGAATGTAGCCTCTCATAAAACTGATCTTCGTTGCTGTCATTGGTAGGTGCATAGCACTGGATAACATATATTGTGATCCCCTACTCCTTTTCTGTGATGGATGTTTCGATGATCGTGGATCCATGAGATTCCTATTCCACAAGTGCTTTACATGCTACGTTGGGCAGCATCAGAGCAATTCCTTGAGTATGTAGAGCACTTTCTTCTTCGTGACCAGCATCTCTCTCGAACTTATTTGTTTGTGTCCAGCTTGGTTACGGTGGGTTTCACTTATTCCGAGCACCACCAAGTTATATGTCCTCATTTCCGTAGTTATTTTACCGGTCCTACCGGTCTCCCACATTGTCTGGACATTCCATGTACCTACATTAATTGTTGCTCCGGTTGTTAGAAGTAGCATTGACCTCCTGATATCCAAAGAATCTCAGCTTTCCCGGACCGAGAGTAATCCTATGATAGCTACAGGCGAAGTTTTCGTGGCTTAAAAAGCAAAATAATTCATCATAATTTCATCTTGTCCTTACCCTATATATTCTCCTTGACTCACTGACAAAATTATAGCATATATTATTGTTCCAATCATAATCGCGTGATTTGTTTCTGTTAGACTCTTAAAGGGGTTAATGTTACTTGCCTTAGAGAAGGAAAGATGTTTCTTTTACATTATTCATTTTCAAGTAAAAATCAGAAATATTTGTGCACATTGTTTTATCTACCGACCACGTTAGTTATAACTAATACACGATTTGTTACTGGACTGTTAATATTTAATAAAGTGATTTAATTTTTTTAATGAATATCGTATTAGTGTAATCTTTTGGTCCATTATAAAGATTATCATTGAATTACTCAAAACTCCATAAAACTAATAAAATAAGTAATAATCATATGGTCATTATTACTGAAGTTCAAAATAAATTGCCAAGAGTTCTAGAGTGAAACAGTTGCTTGTAAGAAGTCAGCTATGTAGAGACTATCTGCACGCTATTCAGGAAATTAATTCATCTTAATAATATGAACCAATTAATAGCAACTCAGTGTCTGGAATTAAATATTTTTCGCTCTGATATTTAGAGCTGGGTTCCATTTTGTTTGGCTGAGTACAAATGAGTTATCTCCAACTAGAACAAAATAGATGTTCGATGAGATCCAGATTTTATATGTATTCTCAATTGATTTCTATCTGTATTATAGATCACTTTTAAATTATATAACTGTAGTTTTTTTGATCAGATGTATATTGTTTGTGCATGTATATAATAAACTCTCTGCCTGTCTGTCTGTATATTATATATATCCGACTACTTATAATTCAGATGAATAATAAAAATAGGTCAGTAATGTATACATTAGCCAAATATACTCATTATTATTCATCCATACTTAAAAAGGTCAAACTGATATAATCTATTTCCTTACATTACATAAAAAGTTCTCTTCTTATTCAATCACACCCTTTTTACTGAAAACATATTGCACAACAGAAAAAAAAGAAAAGATTTAGAGAGGAAAGCATATGTAATTAAAAATTTTTTTTTATTATGTATTTCCTATTTTTATAGTCAGGAGGTTAACGTGTCTGATTTATCTGTGTGTCACGAAATATTCCAAATCTTTTAGTTGTAATGAACTAAAAGAATTCACTTATTGATTAGTTATAAATTGAGGGTTATTTCAATATATTAATCAATGCTATATATATATATATATACGACATCAGGTCAAGTACATCACAGTGGTAACAAAAATTAGTCTTCGCTCTAATCAAAAATGTTAACTAATTTATTGTCCCAATTTATATACTTACTTACGACTGTTACTCCCAACAGAGCATAGGCCACCGACCAGCATTTTCCAACCCACTACGTCCTGGGCCTTCCTTTCCACTTCTGTACAATTCTTGTTTATTCTTCTCATATCTGTCTCTATTTGTCGGCGTGATGTGTTCTTTGGTCTTCCACTCCTCCTTTCACATTGAGGATCCCATATGAGGGCTTGTCTTGTGACACAGTTCAGTGATTTACTCAATGTGTGTCCTATCCACTTCCAGTGCATCTTCCTGATTTCTTCCTCTGCTGAGATCTGGTTTGTTCTCTCCCACAGTCGGTTGTTGCTAATAGTGTCTGTTCAACGGATGCGAAGTATTTTGCGTAGGCAACAGTTAACAAACACTTGTATCTTGTGGATGATGGTATTGGTGGTTCTCGAGGTTTCGGTTCGATACAGTAGAACTGTTTTGACATTGTATTGAAAATCCTGACAGTTGTTTTGAGTTCCATATGTTCTTCAGTTGTAAATGTGCTGTTCTTGCTTTTCCGATCAGCACCTTCACATCTGTATGAGAACCACCGTGTTCATCAATGATGCTGTCCAAATATGTAAAGGTTTAACATCTTATTAGTAAATTTTAATCTATTTGTATTTTCCTAAATCATATTCCCATCTTGTAATTTGGATTTTCAGTTTCAATTTATAAGAAGTGGCAAATTCCGAATTAATTCTTTATTCATTTTATTTGAAAGATTTGTGAAGATTTTGGTATTTTTATGGGTTTAAATATTTTAACAACTGGAATTATTATTTTCTTTTCTGGCAAAACAGTATACTGTGTATCTATGCATCTATTAAATTATTGTATACCATTAAAGAGAACTCTGAAAAATCAATTTCTTGTAATGTGTGCAAGATTTTTTTCTTCAACTTTTACAAATATAATTTTCTGTGAACAACATATGTTGGATGCAGGGAAACTAATCGTTTTGTTTGATATTACTCTCTGTTTACATAAGTCTTAATTGTATTCGTATCAAAATGATTTTATCTCTCTTCTCATATGTTACGATCTCATTAATAAACCAAGAAATGTTATTCTGTGTAGAACTACTTAATATTTGAAATAATAATAATATACCAACCAAACCAGTAAGCTTTTAATCAACTAGTAATTAGGCTCAAACTCTGTTCTTTTCAATTCGATTCAGATTGTATCATTGATTTTTATAAAATTAATGAGTATTTCAAAGTTGAACAGACAAATTTGTGCTTAATGAATGATTTGAATTAGTCATATATATTTTTTCGGAATGGGTTTTGTGGAGATTTTTAGAAATTTCACAGGTTGAAATCATGAGTCAATTGAAGCTAGACCACCATGGAAAACCTGGAAGATACTCCTGGAGTTCTAGCGAAAAGCCGTTACCAGTGGAGTTCAACCAGGTCTGTTGTGAGATATCAGCTCACTGAAGACAATGGTGTACGGTGGCGCAACTCGTGGATTGGTTGAAGTTAGACATTAACATCGTTGGACGCCGGCTCAGTGGTCTAGTGGTTAAGTGCTCGCGCGCGAAACTAGTAGGTCCTGGGTTCGAATCCGTGGGGTGCAGGGTAGTGGGTGCGCACTGCTGAGGATTTCCATACTAGGGCGAAACGGCTGTCCAGTGCTTTGAGGTTTTCTATGGTGGTCTAGCTTCAATTGGCTCATGATTTCAACCTGTGAAATATATATATATCTGTATTAATGCTTATGAATCGATAATATTATCTTTTACATAATTATTGATCGCAACTTATCTTTATAAATATGATGTAATTATTAATAATTTTATAATTAATCGATTATTATCTGATTGTTTTAACCTTCAAAATGTGTAAAGACTTCCAAAACTTATTTATCTAATCAACATAAAATTATTTTATAATAAGTAGTAGCATACAGTTTTACAAATAAACACGTTTCAACACGTACTTTATAATAGTAATATGACATAAATTCTCGTGTTATATATATATATTTATTATTATTATTATTACTATTTTAAATATAACACAAACCTTATTTTATTGATTGAGGACTGTTGTTTGTAAATTGAACATTGATTAGTTCTTATCTAATAAATCCAAGTTATTTATAATGGTAATACTAAGCAAATTTATTAGTAGTTTACATCACAATTTTTATATCAATAAATAGTTTCAATGATCAATAGAAGTATTCAATTTGGACTATGAGTATGAGTAGTTTGAGTAATTTGTCAAGGACGAATTTGTAAGTTTATTGAAGCCTTGGCTATTCGTAAATTTAAACCCCCTTATATTTTTATACTTTAAAAGTAAACAATTATGGTTGATAAATAAGTGTTTATATGAAATTAGTTCATTTATTGTCAAGTTTGTAGTTTTTGTTATATATTTATGGGAGTTTTCTTTTTTTTTTTGAAAATGATGTGTCACAGAATCTTTGTTTAATATATTCTGTTTGAATTGTCAACCATGGATACCTAATTTTAAATAAAAATATTTTTTGTGTTTGTCACGAGTTCGATGGAGCGCTACGTTGAAATCAAATGGATCATATTCTTCTAGTTTAATTACTTATCTATGCCCTCGTCACTGATATATAATAATGGTTATAATACATTAAGAAAAGCGGTTTTTAAGAAATTGTTTAGTACTTAGTTCCGAATCACCGTTTACTTGATTTACTTATTATAACAAGATTATCAATGATTTGTTAACTTCTGTGACTGGTATTGATCACGGTCAATTATTCTCTAACTTCTATGAATTCATAATTTAAAAAAACTACTTTAACACTGATCAAATTTCACAAATCTCTGTCATAATCAATTTTCGACTTGTATTATGTAATATACTACTCTAACATTGATATTAAGAAATAGCACATTTTAGTAAATACTTATTGGTTGAAGTTAGACATGAACATAGTTGGATGCCGGCTCAGTGGTCTAATGGTTAAGCACTCGCACGCGAAACTGATGGGTCCTGGGTTCGAATCTCTCGAGGTGGGATTGTGGATGCGCACTGCTGAGTAGTCCCATAATAGGACGATATGGTCATCCAATGCTTCTAGGTCTTCCACTGTGGTTTAGCTTCAATCGACTCATGATCTCAACTATGTAAATACTTACAATCAATCATATCAAATGTCATCATTCTTGTAATTTATGTTTATTTTCATGTTGTTTTTTTCCAGAAAAATGCTCATGGGATTCATTTATTTGAAAAAGTTTGTAAACAGTTAGATTTACAAGAAACTGAATATTTTGGCTTGACATATCGAACTAGTTTACGTGTAGATGTAAGTATATCACATTACTATGATTAATAATATTCCGAATCTATTTGATCATTTAAAAAAGAAATAATGTCGTGATTATACGTGATCACGTAATTTAATCCTAATAAATAATAACTCATATTAGACTAATTACTATTTGTTTCGTAAATATGTTATACCTAATTGTTATCATTCGTTTCTTTTCATTGATTGAGTCTTCTTACATAAATACACGTAAGTTTGACATTATTTTTACTTAATTTATGTGGAACGTGTTTCGACTGAATAGTCTGTTTCATTTGTACATGGGAATGATTGATGAATCTGAAGGGGGAAATGTTTAATCTGAATAACTTTCAAATCAGCTTTCCCAAAAACTAACATCAAATTAAACATTTAAGAATAAGAGTAAGTATTGTAATACATTTTAAACTATTCAGTTAAGTCTTGGATTAACCGACCTTTAAGACCATATTAATTAATAACTAATCATCCCTGACAGTCATCATGTCCACAGTTGAAGTGACGGGTAGTATGAGGTTGAATATCTGTGAACGTATTAGCTAACTTGAAATTATAGATAGGCCTATCATAGTTAAGTCGCTTCGTGTTGTTTATATCCTCCATTTTAAAACAACTTTGCTTATGTAAAAGAGCCTTACCAATTTACTTTAAGTTTTCGCACTTTCCTTGACACAACAAAATTATCCATAGAAAATATACTTTTTTAATTTGCATTTCTTTTGTTTACCGTCTTTATCAACTGAGATCGAAATGGTTGTCAATGTAAAACTTGTTTAGCTAAATGCACACCTATTTATCAATTTCTTACCAGCCATAAGACGTTGCGTGCTGTTCACTTTATCCACTTGCTGAAATACAAGTGTGTTGTAGAGATCTAAAACTTGTGTCATACTAATATTTACTAAAGTTGAATATACATTGAGTTCTACTTAACTGAGAAAGCATGTGCACTAAACACGCAGACGACTGTGCTAAAGTTGTTTGACATGGACGGCTATCGACTTCTTATGTTCATAAAAATATCAAACATATATCTTCTCCTACGAGTTTCGCTTGCCAATTTACTGTTTAGATGATTACTGACAAATTAAGTTCCGGGGAATCCTCTGTAGAAACAATTTCAGTTATTTGAGTTAAGGAGAGTTATGTCCAAATACTATCCTTCATTCGCTGACATCTTATAATAAACTCAAAAGGAGATGGTTCGCTGAGTATAATAGTCATACTCAAACCGCCAGTCTACTTGAATATATCATCACCAGTACATAATCGAACTTGACACATGTGGACTTCCAAGGATGTTTTTAACAATGGATATACAGAAAAGACAAGTCTATTTGCACATATCGTGCGTATGTTTAAAGGGATCTAGGATTGATATATCCTAATATTTGGAGAATAAAGTGTATGACCTAAAATTGAATATTTACTGGACATATTACATATGAAGACTTCAGTGAGAGTAAATAGTTGAGGTTTATTAATTCATCCATATTCACATGTACAATGGTTTTGTAATAGCTTAATTTTAATGTTTAGATTGTTTCTATTCTCGCGATACCAAATGAATAATGAATATATTATCAACTCTGTTTTTAACCAACACATCACTAAGTGACATATCTCACAAGTTTGAGAAGTGATTGAAAAGTTGTTTCGCTGTCAGTGTGTAATTTATATAGTAGGTTTGAGCACATATAATATAATTATTTGTGATAACGCTTTCTGAGTAATTCGATTTAGTTTTGAATACTTATTTATTAGACTTAACAGAGAAACATATGCACAGCTTCTTTCATTGATAAAAATCTAATTAAAATCAGAATATATAGTTTGATATTTGACGATCAGTCAACGTGACTTTTTACCAAAGGCAATATATTGATAAGGTTTTTAATGCATTCTAAATCCATCCACTTATAATTTAACTCCGAAGCGACTTGTATTTGCAGTTAAACATTTGAAGGTTACCAATAAGAAAATGTTATCAGTAGACATATGTTGGTATAAAACTGTTTACTTCAACTGATTAAACTGTTTATTGAATCGTACTAAAAGCAAGAATATAACTAAATGCAATCATTTCAGATCACCACAGTATGCGATGTAAGTTTAAATCCCTTAAGAAACACGAAGCTCTGTATACATAATTCTTTCAACAACAAAACTTAGCATTGATAACATTTAATAAATGAATGCTCAAAATCAATATTTCAACTATCATTATTAAGATAAATTAATGCCTAACGAATTTTTAATCAGTTTCATTTGGTTACAATTTCATATACCATCATATTTAGTGTTAGCAACTAAACTACTCCTCTGAACCTATCAGTTTCATATCACATGACAACAATATGCAAATTAATAAACACTAATTACTTGAAATAATACTATTACTATTATTATTATTATTATTTTCACTAATAAAATTCTACTAGAAATGTTTCATTGATTTTATCGTAAACATTACAGAAGTTCTATTTATGGATTACATAAATTCAAGAAACTTAATTTAATATATGGTCAATAGATAAATAATAAAGAAAAAAAAAGACACCAAAAACAAATTAAACCATGACCACTCAGTTATATACAAATACTATTCATAAAGAATTATATATATGTATGTATATTCCCCTATATGTATATAGTTATCTTTAAGTAATATCTGGACGTTGAAATTTTCCTTAAAAAAATATAATTCAATGAGTAGTTAATCATTTTTTTTACCCATTTTTTATTGTTCAGCCCATTTGAGATATTTTCAATCGGCGGATTACAGTTGATCTTTGGAATGTCATGTTTATCATTTTCGACATCATCATATGAAATATTTTGTTTAGTAAATAAATTTTTTGGAATTTTTCTTTAAATTCGGCACATGGACAACACTAGATCAAGATAGATATGAAAGAATGATCCACATTACTAAAAGTAACAGGAAAAATCAAAATATACTAAATTATATTATTATTACACCAAAACTATTTGGAATAATTAGGTTTTGGTGAATTATAAATCGATGCTGGTAAAATAAATGTCACTAAAACATATAATCCGATTAAACCAACTATTAGCTTGTTAATTAAAGGTTAGATTTAGTACCAGCTTAACTGTTCGATCCCACTCTTAGTCGTAGTATTATTTTCATTTTTAATGAAAGATATCATGATCGATATATAATTTTGTGTTTTGCTATTCTTTTATATACTAACCACTAATAAAACATGCGTGTGGTCAGTAAGCGTCTATGAAGAGCTTAGTCTTCATACACCTGAGAAAATTACGGATGATTTAGTTATTTAAATCACCACTTATCCTTGTTGATGAGGTTGTGAATCTTCATCGACTGAGATGGTTGGGCCACGTGTTGCGTATGCCTGAACACCGATTACCACGACGCATAATGCTGACTAGTGTTGAGGGTGGTTGGAAGAAAGTTGGGGGTGGCCAAACCAAAACGTGACATCAGTCATTGAAGTCACTAACTTCTAGTCTGAGCCATGTTGGTAGATGCAGACTAATTAATTGAGATCGGCGTGACTATCGTAACCAATGATTGGAGACTCTTGGTGACATGGCTCAGAATCGATAACAATGGCGTCGGTGTATACACTCTTTGTCTTCCCTTAAACTATGAGATTAAAATCGCTTCATATCTTTCTCTCTACAAATTAATTCTTTCTTCCTGTACTATGTTCTTATATGCAATCTTTTTTTATATATTACCACCTCTGAATTAACTACTTCTATGAATCTGGTGTTCATTTTGTTGTGCTAATGCGGTGTCAACTTGGACGTATGTGCATATATGCCTGGTCCTACGTTGTAGCTGACTGGCTGACTGACTGATGGAACAAAGGAATAATAAGTTTAGTTTCATTTGTGTTTTATGATTTTCTTCGTACTATTGTGGTTTCGTACTTCTACATTGATCATGTGAATACTTTCTTGACAAAAAAAATGGAATGTGGCTTATAACAAAGGGAATAGACATTTGCATGAACTCTACGCGGAAAGCGTTATGGGTAGTTCCCAAAACCATATTTTGGGTACAGATATGTCCGAAATTTTGTTTTCTCTTTCATCATCATCAGCTTATCTTTAAATTTCACAAATATATTAATAAATATATGTCAACGGGTTCATGAATTTAATATTAACAAATAAAAAGAGATGATGGTATAATAATTCCTGATTATATAGTACTGAGAATTCGTGGAAAGTGTGAAAAATGAACTCGCCAACTTTTTTATTTTCCAACAGTGATTTAGTTTGTCGCACAAAAGTATATCATTTTCCTGCGTTACTTTATTCATGACATTTTTATCTTACAGAGATTTTAAATCATAAGTAATTGATAGAAAGTCATTTAGATGCCTTCAGAGTAAAGGCAAAATATTTGAAACGTAGGTCTTGTTGTAACGTGCTAGTATCCATAGATGACCTTAAGCAACTAATACGCAGTAAGGACGAGGAATACTAGTGCTTGGTGGTTAGCCCAATACTAACTATCCCCGAGTGAAGAGAAAACACTCAAGACCAATGATCACCAGTTCACGATTGTTATTAAATTTCAGACATTCATTCATATATACAAGACCAGACCACTCAGCAGACAGTAACAGTACTGACACGGAAAAACACCATTGGTAATGGGGGAAACGGAGTACTGGATACACAAACAATGAGTTCTAGTTTATGAGTGAAATATGCTATAGCAACAATTTGCGGTTCAAATAAATACTTGGGACTAGGATATTATTAGGATAGTATATATATAATCTTAAAATAATAGCTTCGAAAGATTTTCACCTAGTACTTAAATAATCTCTTGCAACAGTTTTCTATCAATGAATGCAGAATATTGCTTAATGACTGCTTTCCTTTGGGATTTGCTTGATAAGAGAGGGAATATTTGTTGGACACATTGGTTATTTCAGTCACCTGATAAATCTGATCTTTTTTACTAGATTAATTTTTAATGAGATCTA